AGGCGTGAGCCACCGGCGTCCAGCTCTATGTTTTTATTTCTCTTGAATAAATTTCCTAAGCCCTGGAATAGCAGAACTAAATGGGAGGTGTAGGTTTAACTTTTGTTTGCACCTATTTCAAAGTTGTTGTATAATCCGATTAGGAGTACATGAGAGTTTCAGTTGCTCACATCCTTGCCAATAGTTGCCATGCTGAGATCTTTCTACTCATTTTAGCTATTTCAGTGTGGGTGCAGTAGTTGTAGTTTGCATTTCCTAGATCACTGATGGTATTGGCTGTCTTTTCTCATGCTAACACATTTTCCTATGAAGTGCCTGTTTATGTGTGTCACTGATTTTTTGTGAGTTTGTTCATCTTCTTATGACTGAGTTATAAGAGAGCTCTCTATATAAATTCCATTTATAAATTTTGTCCAATAGTATCTCCCAATGTGTAATACACAATTATTGTTTGTTTATTTATTTATATAATTTACTTAAGTGGATCTCTTAGTGAACAGATTTTAATTTTGTTGTATTTTGGTTGTGGGGGAAGGTGCTTGGGATCCAGCTAAGGGAAATGTGTTGCTAGGCAAGCACTTTGCCACTGACCAGACCCCTACCCCAAGCAGATTTTATTCTGATGAAATCCAATTGATCAATTTTTAATTCTTTTTGTCAGTCATGAGGCTCGAACTCATGACCTGGGCTCTATCCTTGAACTTTTTTGCTCAAGGCTAGTACTCTGCTACCATGAGCCACAGCTCCACTTCTGGTTTTCAGGTGGTTAATTAGAGATAAGTGTCTCACAGACTTTCCTGCCCAGGCTGGCTTTGAACCATAATCCTCAGATCTCAGCCTCCTGAGTAGTTAGTATTACAGGTGTGAGCCACCAGCACTTAGCTAGTTTTTTAACTTAGCTTGTGAGGATATAAACTAAAAGAACCAACCTATTTCCTTCTTTGTTTTCTATATCTGTGGTCCTCACATTTAAGGGGCATCAGAATTCCCTGGAGGAGCTTGGGTAAAATGCATATTCCTCTCCCTTTTCCTCCCAGCACAATTCATTCTGCGACTCTGCATGAGCAGATCCTGTCTGAATTGTATGGGCTTCTGGCTAGTTGCACCCCAACAGTGGTCCTTGCTGGGAAGCACTGCACAAACCTCCTACCACTTCACCAAAAGAAAACAAAGGGCTGGGTGTGGTTCATGCTCAAACCCCCATAACAAAAAAGAGAAGGACTGGGCAGGTAGAGGCAAAGAAAAAGGAATGACCCACATCGCTACAGTTCATGCAACCCCAGGAAGTCTGCTCAGCCACCCTTGGGGTGGGGCTTTGGGAATGGCTAGCCTTTAGCAGCCCATCCCTGATGGAAAGTTCAGTGTGGTCAAACCATGTCTTTCAGCTTCCAATTCTTTCTCCTGTGGCTCTGTTTTGACAGGTGTATCCAGGGCTGGTGAAGCAGAAGCTGCCAGCTCAGCTCTGGCCCTGTGAAAGGAGCTGCAGGAAGGGCAGAAAGTTTGCCCAGAGCAGTCCTGCCCTGCAGGAGAGAGAATGAGGTTGCCAGGTGATTGAGAAGGCCGCCCTGGGGTTTTGAGAGGAACTCCAAGGCTGCGGTCCAGTTCTATAGCTTCCAGGAAGCCCCTTGCTCTCCTTAGGTGGCCCAACAATGACTTTAGGACTTTGCAAAATCTGTTGTGGAATAAAGCCACTCTCGTGGTGAAGTCTGTGCTTGTAATCCGGTGGCTGAAATTCCGCCAGCTATCCCTTCTCAGTTTGGGTTTAGAATTTATTGCCCTGGCCCTGGCAAGTTCCAGGAAAGTAACCAAGCAGAGCAGGAGGAAGTGCTTTGTTGGAATGACGGGACAGAGGAACACAGCACACCAGGCCCAGTGGAATCAAGACCAATTCCATTCCCTTTGTTTTCTGAAGAAGAATCTCAAGATCCAAGAGGCCAGTGCTGGGTTTAGGGTTCCACAGGAAGCAAGGCCAGGCAGGACAGAAGCACAGCCTGTCCAGGTCTGTGTCCCCTGAAGGACTCCATTCTGAAGCCCACACAGCCTTCACTCGGATGGACAGTTCCATCTTGCAAGATCTTGGAACAAGGCTTTGCTTCAGGCTGCGTGGTACTTATTGCCTATTCCTAAGCCCCATGAGCACTCTGGAATCTCAGCAGTATTTAAAATACGCGCGTGCTCTGAGGGTTCTGTGACGGCCTGGACGGAGGGACTGGGGTGGAGAGAAACAAAGGGAAAGGAGCAGAGTCATCGCGCCGGCCTCTCATGGCGCAAGGAGTCATTTCGGAACAGGAGGGGCTTGTGCCCTGGCCACCGCTTGTCTGTCAGAACACAAGTGTCCAGGTCGATAGGATCTTAGCTGCTAGGTGAGACCGCCATTACAATGGTGGTGTCTCTGGAGGGCTGGCCGTTACGGAGAGCTGTGGAGTGACTTCTGTCCATGGTGAAGCCCTCCGTCCAAGTTTTCCTGGCTCTGAGTTTGAGGTCTGTAGCAGGTCATTAAGGGTGGTGGGTGAGGCCCTAGCTTGATGGAGCTGTGTGGCCTTAGAAGAGGACCAGTCCCCGCCTGCCACCCTGTAAGAGCATGCCGAGAAGGTGGCCATCCGCACACCAGGAGGAGCTGTCCCCGGGTGTTGGACTTCTGCGCCTTCAGAACTGTGGTAAATAAATGTCTCCTGCTCAGGCCACGTGGTTTGTGGTGTTTTATGATGGCAGTCTGAGCAGACCGAGACTCTGGCCAACAGGCCAGAGCATCTTCTCAGCAACCTCGTGGAAGGAAATGAGCACGGGGAAGTTAAGCAACTTGTCCAGGGCTGAGTTATGGCTAACAACCTATGTCTGCAAATATGGGAAGTCAATGGATCTCTCCAACACTCACTTCCCCCATCAGTAGCAAGGATGGTAGCTGCTGCAGTGAAAGTTGTAGGGAAGAATAGTGTTAGGGAAATGGAGGAGAAAGGAAGGAAAGGCTGGATGCAATCTTCCACGGGCTAGGACTGTTTATTGAGATAGAGTGGGAAGGAGCCCAGGCTTCCCGGGACTTGGAGCCTGTGTACAGGAGCTGGGTTTGATGAGGTCTGAGCCAGGAAGCAGAGGTGAATGGAAAAGCCATTAGGTCTAGGGAGTTGGGGGCTTTTCGGTTGGGCCCACGATGGAATGTTTAGGTGGATTGCCCTGCCCGCACGTCAGGTATGTCCTCGAGTCCCTGGGATTTTGCCTGGTGTCTGTATGTACCTGGGACTATTAATAGGGTAGGGGTCAATCCTTCAAATAGGAGTTTCTATTTGTGAAGTATTAAGGATGGTCTCCTATTGGAGGTGTTTGCGATTATGATTGTTCCATTGTTGTTGACATAATTCTATTTCCACAGTGCCCGCCAGGTTTCACTGACAGCTTGCCCCGATCACTCATGCTGCTGTGTCTCTCATTGTATTGCTGTCTATACTCCCTCTCCCTCTCCCTCTCCCCCTCCTTCCCTGCCTCCCTCCCCCTCCCCCTTCTCTCTTTCTCTCTTTCTGTGGTTACAGCTTGTTGTAGCAGGGTCCCTTCCTGTCTTGGGGATTCACAATGGGAACAAAGTTAGGAGCTTAAAAGCCAGGTCCCGTGGGGGTCAGTGTCCGACTTCTGTTGATGAACCAGATGATGTGGGTCAAGGGAGAGAACACAGGAGTCACTGAGAGCTGGAGAAATGAGAGAACCGCCAGTTCTCCAATCTATTGAGGTGTTTTGTTTTGCTTTGTTTTTTGTCAGTTGTGGAGCTTAAACTAAGGGCCTGCGTGCTGTCCCTGAGCTTTTATGCTCAAGGTTAATGCTCTACCACTTGAGCCATAGCTCCACTTCTGGTTTTTAGGTGGTTAATTGGAGTTAAGATCTCAGGGACTTTCCTTCTCAGTCTGGCTTCAAACCAGGATCTTCAGATCTCACCCTCCCGAGTGGCCAGGATTATAGGCGTGAGCCACCAGTGCCTGGCTTGATTGAGTTTTTTGTTGTTGTTTGACCCATGTGACCGTTTCTCTCATTTTGTCCCCAAGCTCTTCCCTTAGAATGTGTCTTTGCTGCAATGTGACTCCAGGATATCCCATGGTCTTTACACTCAGACCTTTTCTGCATTCAGGGCCTGGTCCCTCACCCCAAGTTCCCTGCAGGTTTCCTTGTGGCCTCAAACTGAGCTGACTCTACTGGTGGGTCTCACCTGTGGTCCTTGTCAACACCTGAGCCTTACCTGCTAGCCTTGCGTGCGCAGTCTCCATCCTTCTAGACGTGGCCTGTTTTGTGCGCAGCTGTAGGTGTACAGCTAGCTTTCACCGCATCTCCTCTCCCCAGGAGAGGTGACCAGGTGAGCTTTAGACCTTGCTCCCCCCTGCGGTCTCCACAGCAGCTAAATCAGCACCCCACCCTCTCAGATCCTCAGGGGACTTCAGGCCCCACAGATGGGTGGGGAAGTGGCAAGGCCTTTCTGTGGTGACCCCGTTCAGCACCCCTTTCACTGTTTGATCTACCAAGCCTCCACCCTGAAATAAAGCAAGCAAGCCAGTGCTCAGGGCTTGCCCTGGGCCGGGTTTTACCAGCAGAAGACCTTCATAATCTTCTTAGAACAACAGATCCTGGCGATTTCTGGGGGACTCGACCGACATCCTGTTCCTGAGATTGTTGTGGGGCCAGCGCCCCCGGGCATGCCTGGCCTGGTCTGTTCCATCTCTTTGTCTGAGAGATGAAGAGGGAGAATCCTCCCGGGACTGTGCTGGGCACACAGCGCAGAGCCCGGTCCCGTGTGGTCCTGCCCTCACACAGTCCCTGGTTCGGAAGCCCCTGCGGCTTACTGCAAACCACTGGCAAGTCTTGGCAGACCTCAGCGCTTCTAGATTGAAGGGCCCTAGGCTTAGGGACAAATGCCACCGTGGGACACTCGGGACGGGTGCCCTTCAAAAGTCAACGCCAATCCGAATCCTAATGGCAAATCAGGCAGAAAAGACAGGAAGACGCCCCTCTCCTAGAAACAGCTTTTTACTGGGTCGGTATTATTATGTGACATGATATCGTGGTACGTGGACAGGGCGTTACATGTTGTGGGCAGGGGCTCGTGCAAGCCAGTTGCACATGTAGGTCGCCGAGGATGTGACGGGAAGGCCTGGAGCAGGCCGAGGGCAGTTGGGAGCAGACAGCTCAGCCGGGAACTCCTCTCTGCCAGGGGAGCCGGAGGTGCGTGCAGGGCGCAGGGCAATGCCACAGGAGCCTCTCCTGGATGTCTGGACTCGTACTGCTTGGGTGGAGAGCACTCTAGCCATTCTGGGTGGCAGTGGGGCAGGGTCACTAGGGACAGGAGGACCTCTGGCCACCTGGTGTCAGCTGATGCCCTCCTTCAGCCCGTTCCTCCCCAGCCCCCATGAGGAGCGCGGCTGGGAACAGGGCACGTCTGCCTCAGTGGAGCACAGCTCAGCTGTGCAGAGAAACTCTTCATCCCCGCCTTAGCCTCCTGTTGCCACATCTGCAGCTTCCTGCGTGCTAGGGAGCACCTAGGCAGAATGTTCCAGAACCTTACAGTCTCCTCCCCATGCAGATGGAACCCCCGCTTGGACTCCTTCCCAGCTGCTTCTGAGATGCAGGGGCAACATTAGGCAAAGGGTTTGGGGACATGGTGAGGGGAGAAATCCATCGGGCTTCTGAGGGGTGCCAGGCCCAGGGCCCACAAAATGCCAGCCTGGGGGGAGCCGCGCTGCCCTCAGGAGCAGAGGCAGCTCTCTGAGAGCCCTGCGCCTCTGGCTGCTGCCCAGCTCACCTCCTCCCTACAGTGTGAACTGATGCCTCACAAAAGTTGCCCTAGGTCTTTTCAAAGGGGGCGGGAGGGCAGGAAGCTTCTGGCCCCTGTGAGTGTAAAGTTACCGGAAAGGAGGAGCCGGTGCGGTACTCAGAGAGAGACCCAAGGCCTGCGTCCTGAGGCAGCCAGCTCGCTAGCAGGCTCAGTCCCAGGGGAGGGGTGTTCTGCCCTCTCCTCCTGCCCCGTCTGCCACCTTGGCCAGCAGGCCAACCGTGTGACTGTGAACATGTGCGTGTGTATACGTGTGCATGTACATACATGTGTGTGCACGCATGCACGAGGGGAGGTTGCTCTCCTAGGGCAGAGTCACTGGGGGGCCCAAAGCTGCAGGTCAGCCCTGCATCACAGTCAGAGCATCACGAGTGTCTGTGGACGGTGAGGCTTTGTGTTCCCATCCCCCCGTCCCCTGCTATGTGGCAGTGTCCGGGCTAGGGACCCTTCTCGGGAGGGGCTCTAGCTTCCAGGTGGGCCTGGGGGTCCAGGCTGGCCAGGGGGGCCCTGGATGCCTGGTTCACCCTTCAGCCCCATGGCCCCCCGCTGACCTGGAGACCCTGTTTTCCCTGCAATCCCTGGTTTTCCCTGAGGTCCCAAGGGCCCAGGAGACCCTGGGGGCCCCTCTGGCCCGGGAGCTCCCACATCCCCTTTGGGGCCTGGCTGTCCTCTGGGTCCTCCAACGCCAAAGCTACCCTTTGAGCCTTTGAGGCCCGGGAAGCCTCGTGGGCCAACTGGTCCCCTTTCCCCCACGGGTCCAGGCTCCCCAGGCTGCCCTTGGGGACCCTGAGGTCCCGGGGGGCCTAAGTTGCCAGGGTCTCCTTTGGGTCCTCTGCCGCCAGGGGGCCCTTTGGCACCCACGTCGCCTTTGAGTCCTCTCGGTCCTGGAGGGCCAGGGGCACCTAGGATGAGAGAAGAGGGCACAGGTCACGCAAGGTTTCATCAAGATAGCGGGTACAGAGACGACTGGGCACGGGATGGAAGGCCGCACAGGCTGTCACTCCGGCATTCGGGCGGATCCCTCAGCTGTTGGTGAAGCGAGGGTGGGAAGAGCAGGTGTGTGCAGTGCAATCGCACACATCCGGAGCGCGCATCAGGTCCGAGCACTGCCAACTCCTGGTCTCTGACTCCCAGGCCAACCCCAGGCAGGGAGTCGAGCTGCACGGCCGTCTGTCCTACACTGGAGGCTGTCTGACCTTCTGCTGTGGCCCCTGCGGCACCCCAGGCATCTGGGTACAGTCAGAGAACGAGTAAGACAAAGCCAGGCAAGTGAGTCAGCAGCAGGCACTCCCACAGTGAGTCACGCCCAGAGAAAGGGAGATTCCTCCAGGAAGCCCGCCCTGACTGCTTAAGCCTCCTCTCTGAGGTCTGGGGGCTACTCCTCTCTAAAGAGAAATAGAGAAATCACAGTGCAGTGGAAGCCAACACTAGGTTTCAGTCTTCTGGGGCCAGAGGCTGTGGTCTCGGGAGGGGTGAGACCAGGTGTGTGAGGAGATGAGCGGTCTCCAGGCTGCCCAGGGCTTCTTCTCCTGGTTGATGGGACCTGCGAGTCCCATCCCCAGCGGTTCTCTCTGTGTCTCCTCGGAAATGCTTCCATGTGGAACACTGACAGTGAATACCTTCGTCTCTATGACCTCAACTAGAAACTAGAGCCTGATGGCCCCAGCAGAGCCGATGACAACCTTCCAGTGTTTCCCCGCCACTCCCTGCCACGCTATGTGGCCATGGTTGGCGTGCCAGCAGGGAGGCTGCGTGCCAGCCCGTGGATGGGCCGTGGGCGGGGGCGATGGTGCATCTCCAGGAAGCCAGGAGGCGGGACCTGCCCCCAGGCCCCCAGTGAGCCCCTCCTGGCACCGCAGCCCCCCCCCACAGACCCGGGCTGGTGGTGTGCGCGGCAGCCTGGGCCTCCCCAGCCTGGCGGCCTCGCCGGGAACTGGCAAAGCCACTCCGGGCTCCTGGGCCAGCTGTGAGCCCGAGAGGCCGAGGAGAGCCAGTCAGCAGAGGAGAGGCCATTCGAGGCTATTCTGGGGGAGGAACACCCCTGGGCAGGTCCCTCACCCTTCCGAACTCAATTCTAGAACTCTCGGCGGAGAGCCTCACTGAGCACCCACGGGCCTGTGATGCTCCATGCTTGGTACTTTACAAAGTACCCCCTGTGTGCCCTTCTCCTGCTTGGCTGGCCGGGGACTCTGTCCCACCCCTGTCCTTGCTCCTTCTAGATGCTTCTTTGGGCTCTCTTCCTACCTGCCCTGGAGATGGGAAGTCCCCTGGGGCCTGCCCCCAGCTCCCTGGTTCTTGGGTTGTCTGCTCTTGACCTCCGGCAGAAGCAGCCCTGGTCCCCATCCCCTGCCTAAGCAATCCCAGTGATGGGGACACCCTGTCCCTCCCCGAGCCAGCAGGGGACACCTTTTTTGCAGGGCCACCTCTCCTGCTTGGCCTGGAGAAGCACACTGCTGGGAGGGTTTTTTTGGGGGTGGGGCAGGGGTTCAGGCCAGCAGCTAAGGAGAAAAAATGGAGATGGAGGGCACTCTTGCCCTCCCCCTTCCGGTCCCTCTGGCCCTCCTCCCTGGGCAGTTCCAGGGCAGGGCGGTGTCTTTCCCTGGATGGGAAGTACCGCGTGCCCACGTGTGCCTGGTGGCCACACAGGCAGATGCCTGGACCACGTGATCCGCCTCACTGCCTCCCGTGTAAGTGGAGGCAGGACCCTGGGGAGAAGGTCACCTCTCCCACCCATGGCCGCTGCTGCTAATCACCATCGATGGGAGATGGGAGCACAGAGGCAGCAGGTGGGAGGGGGGGAGCGCAGCCGCCCGCACGGCTTGCCTGCTGCACGGCTTGCCTGCTGCACGGCTTGCCTGCTGCACGGCTTGCCTGCTGCACGGCTTGCCTGCCGCATGGCTTGCCTGCTGCACAGCTTGCCTGCCTCTCCCCGGCTTGCTCCCCGGCCCTCACAGGTGCCCGTTCTGCGGCCTGGCCTCCCTGGCTGCCTGTGTCTGGGCTGGGGCCTGGAGCCTGCACCATATCAGCTGGCCTACAGCCCTGCTGCGATCAGTGCCTGACTTTCCTTCTTCTCCTCTCTACTGCACGGCAGGGCTGGGCAGGAAGGGCCAGGAGAGCAGTTAATGCCCACCCATGTGTCAACTGAGCCGGCTGTGCCCTCGTGGGTTGTCATTCTTTTATTTTGGTGTTAGTACTAGAACTTAAACTCAGGGCCTGGGTGCTATTGAGTTTTTGTTTGTTTGTTTGTTTGTTTATAGTTAGCATTCTACCATGTGAACCACAGCTCTACTCTGGCCTTTTTGTTTGTTTGTTTTTTTAAATTTTTGTTTGTTTGTTTGTTTTTGCCAGTCCTGGGCCTTGAATTCAGGGCCTGGGCACTGACCCTGAGCTTCTTTTGCTCAAGGCTAGCACTTGAGCCACAGTGCCACTTCCAGCTTTTTCTGAGTATGTGGAACTGGGGAATCAAACCCAGGGCTTCCTGCATGCAAGGCAAGCGCTCTACCACTAAGTCACCTACCCAACCCTGTTTGAAGGTTGTTTTGGTGGTTAATTGGAGATAAGAGCCTCACAGACTTTCTTACTTGGGCTGGCTTTAAGCCTTAGTCCTCAGATCTCAGCCTCCTGAGTAGCTAGGGTTATAGGTGTGAGCCACTAGTGACAGGCTAGGTTGTTATTCTTATTTTGTAGATGACAAGCCACAGGGCAGAAGATGACACCTGGTCCAAGACAACTAACCTGCCGGTCCGGATTCCAGGCCAGCGGCTCTGAGATGCAGACTCCCTCCCATCCCTGCTGCCCTTGACAGCCTATGACTGGGACTACTGCGCCTCAGCCTTCAGGGCCAAGGCTGCAGTGGTCTGGTACTGCCGGAAAGAGGGAGACACCCTAAGGTCCTCTTCTAAAGATGCTGAGGGGTCCCTAAAGACTAGAAAGGTCCAGGTAGGATGACACACACCTGTTATCTCGCTACTCAGTTGGCAGAGGCAGAAAGATCAAAAGTTTAAAGCCAGCCTGGGCTACATAGCAAGACACTGTCTCAAAAAGCCCATCCGTGGTGGAAGGCTTGCCTAGCACGCGCAAGGCCCCGGCCGCGCCCCTGGCAGGACAAAAGGCAGAAGAGAAAGTAGGAACGGGGCTCCTTCCTCGATGAGCATGGCTATCACCAGGCCCTGGTCTGCGTGAGGACAAAGCCGACAGGCCGCTGCTCACACAGGGGGAAGGAAGGTGTTGAAGCCACTCCGAGGGTAGGGATCAGGGTCGAAGGAGGGGGCTTGCCTCCACTCTGCGGGAAGGCTTCTTAGGGCGGGGGTGAGGTGAGGAGAGCCCCGGAGACACCCTGGTAGCTCAGGAAAACATCGGCTATAATTAGCTGCCCAGGCCCATTTGGGCCCAGCCACAGCTGACGGCGTGTCTGAGGTAGGTGGGTGGTCAGCTCTGTGGTCTCGGCTCGGGGTGGGAAGGAGGAGAACAGGACGGCCTGAAGCGGCTGTGTTCTCAGGACAACCGCCCATGAGCAGGGCGGGCACGGGCACGGGGGCCCCCGCGAGCCGCCCCTCGCTGGAGAAAACCAGGAACTATGTGGGCAGAAGGAAGTAGAGATGAAGGGGTGTCTCTTAGGAACCCAAGGCAACGCATCTGCCTGGACAACGGAGGGCGCAGGGTGGAGCAGCCGCAGCTGGGGTGTCACGTCGAGTGGGTGGGCTCACGTGCCTCCTGTCCCATGCCGCTATTGGCCAGGCCGAGGAGTCTCAGTCCTGGCTGTGGTCCCTTGAGAAGAACTGGAAACACGCAAGCACGCAAACCAAGAGGCGCCAGGGTACTTGATCTACTGCCTTAGGCAAACTAACCTCCCCAAAGAGCAACCAGAATGGTTCGGGAAATGCCAGATCAGCTTTCTGGGAGAGACAGCAAGGGTGGAGCCCCCGGGAGAAGAGGCTCACGGGAGCCAGCCTGGCATTCTCGGCTGTTTGTCCTCTCTAAGCACCTGTGGGTTGGTAATCAGTCTGGGCAGAGACTGAGAAGCCAAACAAATGATGGCAGATTTTCGGCTGGGACACCTAGAAGAGGTCTTGGCAGCTGCACTGGGCTGGAGAGACCAGGGATCATGATTCCTCTTCACCTGCACACCTGGCTCCTCTGCCTAGCCACAGGGGGCCCGCCCTCCTCAATAGGTCATAGGTCATCTCCTGAATCCTGGAGCTGGAGGTGGGGGCTTGTGGAACAAGTTTCCAAGCCAGATCCTTCTCACTCTTCTGCCCACCCTGGGCTTTTAGCCTATGCTTATACTTCCGTTTATTCACTGATTGAGCACAGGCCCTCAGGACCAGCCAGGAGTCAGGGGTCACACACCTGCTGGGTATTTGTGAGTAGGACCAGGAGCCCCGGCCATCAGGCAATTTGGCTTTGTGAGAATCCCCTGTGCTAAGGTGCCTAACTTCAGCTTAGAAGCACAGGTTCACATCGCCGCCACTGCTGATGCTCACAAGGGCTCCGTGGAGCCCTATCGAGGCAGGAATTGAAAGTGGCCACGCGCTCGGCTCTAAGTCACTCAACTAATGAGTCGAGACAGCTCCTGGCTCTAATTTCCCAAGTACGGTTTCAGCATGACATTGCCTAACACAGACACAGAAATCATCCTACAGAGAAGTGAGAGAAATATGCTAGCAGAGGCCCAAAGCACTTAGAGGCACCACAGGCTTTCTGTTGGATAAGTAGAGGCTTTGAATTAGAGCTGGGAGGTCTCAGAGAGGAGCTGGTTCTACCCATTCATTTACAGATGACAGAGCCGAGGCTGGAGAGACAGGTGAAGCTGTCCAAAGCTCCACAGCAGATTAGACACCTGCCTCTTTCCCTTCCATCAGCCCTGGCACCTCTTCATCACCCTGGCTACTGCCACCCTGTTCCTTTAGTCCAGCCAGGAGCTCTGCCGGAGAGGCTTCCCAGGCAGCTCAGTGTCAGGGCACCAGCATGTATCTGAGGAATAGCCGAGGGATGATCAGGCCTCTGTACATGGCTGTGAGGAGCACTGTGCCCTTGAAATGTCCTTTCAGCCAAAGATTTTGCATATGGCCACTTTGACAACAGGGGAAATGTTGGACAGAGACACCATTTTGAATTGCACCCAAAGGACCACACAGATACAGATTTGGGTGAAATCAGGTAGGAAAGCTACAGTTGCTGTGGAAACACTCAGTACCTGGCTTTGTGGCAAAAAAGTAAAATT